CAAACCTCATACATGAATTCATAATCTTGCATCTTTTATACATTTTGAAAACATTCTTGAAACTTCAGCAGCCCTTTTCTTGGCGGAAAAAAGGCAGACTCTGAAAAAAAGAAAAAGTACACTTTTCCTTTTTTTTTTTTTTTAAGCTTTCAATCTTAAAATAATACAATTATTAACCTTAACAGTAACAGGTTCATGAACGTTAAAGCTCATCTGTCAACATCCACCCTGTTAGGAAGTCAGTTTTTTCTTTTTTTTGTTTGATTTTCATTTATTTGAGTCACTTCTGAAATGATAAAAACATGGTTGTGACTACAGTGCATTCAGAAAGTATTCAGACCCCTTTCACTTTTTTCACATTTTGTAATGTTGCAGCCTTATCTCATAATCATTTAAAATTATTTCCCCTCATAACTCTGCACTTAATAGCCCATAATGACAAAGTGAAAACAGAATTTTATAAATTTTTAGCAAATTTCTGAATGCGCTGTAAATACAAGGGACAGTGTGAGAGACTAGTGGAAAGGTGGTATTCGAACGTTACAACTGGGGAATCAAACAGTTAATGGAACGGATATCTGAGTGAATCTGGTTATGTCATTTTGTCCAAGCTGCAAAGCTTCAACATTAACTTCATCCTTCACCTACGTAACTACTGTATACTGGTTACTACTGAATCCAAAAGCATCAATCTAAATAATTTCCTCTGAGATTATATTGAAGCTTCACTTTAAGCAATAGGTGGCCTTTCTATTCTTTCCTATATAAAGGGAAGAATTACCTCTATTGGATAGCTCCATATGCTACTGCTTTAGCATACAGTATATAAAGTATGGACTGACTGATATTAGATTACTGAAGCAATACCAATATGGATTCTTTAAAATTTGATAAAGATGTATTGGCTAATATACATTTTTGCACATAAACACATAACGTAAACATTTTTCATACTGAACCCTTAAATTTGGTTCTGACCAAGATATGCACTGAGCAGGATAAATTATTTTGTCTGTTTCTAAATTGGTTTGTTGTTTAAGCAAAACAATTCCTCCTTACTTATTGGCCAATAAATACACTGATGCCAATATATCTGTTATAAACTTATAATGGCTGAAGTCGACATGGGCTCTAATGTAAAGTTACAATAAATCTTTTTATACAACGCTGACCAGGGACGTTTGTTACGTGTAATCACCCACCTCATTTTCTATCAGCTTTCCACTGTCTGACTAATAAAATTTTAAAAAGCCCTTCTAAACAACTTTGAAATATTTATTAAGTATAGGTAATGCAACTTTTTTATGACAAAAATATAAGGAAATAAACAAAAAAAAATTCTATTTTAATTTCCCTTTAATCGCACATAATTATCCAAAAATGTTACCCTTATCTGGAATTTATTTTTCTATGACTTGTAGATTCAGAAACTATAAAACAGAATCATAATCTTTATCGTTAGCAATATCCATTTCAAAAACTCCTATCTGGCAAAAAGAAATCTGTCAGAAAGTGCATCATTTTTATCCGTTTTATAGGTTGTGGAATAAACCTCATAGATTTAGATGCATCTCAATAAAATTACATTTCTGCAAGTTCTTGTTTTCAGTTTTTTAGTGGAATGATAATCACTTATAATTACTTAACATACCATATGCTTAAGGACTGAAATTCATTCATGACATTTAAGACGTTGTACCAGAGGTAGTCTTGATGCCACTCCTCTCATGGCCAAGTTCCTTAACCCTTACGGAAACTTGCCCACGTTGGTAAATGTGACTTTGAAGCTTGGCCAGAAAGTAAGAACCAGTGAATGGTGACAGGAACGACATGAGGGCGGAGATCGATGGAGATTTCAGTGTTAAACCATTATAGCTAATAGCACAACACAGATAACCAAAGTACCACTAAAATCCATTAAGCTGACCAAGATAAAGGGGCACCGATGTGTCACCCAGGATACACAACTTCCAACTCATCCCGTCACATGGTAGCATACTCTTCAACTGAGGTTTTCACATATGATCCACATATGTCATGTGACATAGTTCTACTTTTAGGCAACTCATGGGAATGATTCGGAGGAACAGTACAATATTAAATATGAGCAACTTTTATATCACTTCAAGAAATGAACAAGACTGTGTTCAAAGTGCACAAGACTTTTGAGTCTTAAGGGGAACTGTACATAGTTCATATGGTTTCAATAGCATTTAGGGTTCCAGACACAATAATATAGTGTGGCCATCAAAGCTAGTTTACATGAGAACAGCATGTAACACTACAGCAGCTTCTCTAATGGTGATGTTATAGGTTTCTCAGTCAGTCTCAGAGCTGGACTATCAGTGTTTCCAGAGGCTAAGCAACACTCTCTACAGGATGGATGCAGTAGTAACAGTTCACACATCTGACAAGTACAGCAACACGCCACAAACATGTCACTAATCCTTCATAGTTCACCATCCCAGCCTCTAATGCTTAATGCACAGAATTACAGTGAGCTCTAAAGGAGACAGCGTCGTCTCCTTTAACATGGCTGCTTCTACTCATTTTACTGGCGCGACACATAACAATGCTCCTGGTCTGTGAATCAAAGTCACATCACAGTGTTGTTTTCGTAGAATCTAAAATGGAAAAAACTCAATTTAGGTGACTTCTTAAAATAATACAAGCTAAAAAAAAAAAAAAAAAAAGAGTCATCTCTTTTCTCCATAGTAGATCATTTAAGACATTTAACAATCATGGAAACTGAGCAAAAATAACATTCCCTACAACTTTAGGCTTATTTCTCATCAACCATTGACTTAGATTTTCTTTAAAAATGAGTGTGCTATGAGTCCTATCACTTAAAATGTGGATCTCTATTTGCCAAGGACAGACTTGTTCACTTAGAAAGACAACTTCAAAAACCTCTGGATGGTCCCAGCTGCAGTATTTACAGGCCTTTCTCGGTTCTTACTGAAATCCTGCTGCATTCATGGCATTTCAGAGCTGCTTCCAGTGTAGTAGAATCATTTTTAATAATATGTTTTTCTTTCGGAATTTTAGAAAACTTTGATATTTAGAAATTTATTTCTAATATTTTTGTGTACCCAGTGATATCATACAAAAAAAACAAGATAATGCTAAACTAAAAAGTAAAAATAAAAAACAGAAAAAAACAGTGTTTATAAAGCTATTTACGTCCATCTATTTAGAAACTGCTGTGCAGTAGTCACCTCGAATGGCCTGGTAGCAGTTCTCAGCAGGTTCTACTAGAAAATAAATCAGTAAATCACTTAAAAGTTGCAAGGAATAGTCCAACTTCAGACTTGCCATGAATGTAACAACATTACTCTCTTAAACTGACAGCTCGTCCTGCAGGTGATCTTGCTGCTCTCCCACCCTGTTAACCTCTGCAGTCGTTCACTGTCTGTCTGTCCCTTGTGTGTATGCACGGGCAACAGGGAGCGTTCCCAACTAAGATCACTGTATTGCTGTCAGAGAGTTGGAGTGGAACACTGGGAGAGGAAGTAGACAAGAATGAGGCAGGACGAGGTGAGCCTATGATGCAAATGTCCGACAATGACTATGACAGGAACAACACACCAACACAGCTCATCATTGTTTTAACGATATCAGCATAGACCACCAAAACACAATAAAGAGTTGGTTTCATTCTACAACAGAGAAATGCTTGTATGAGCAGCATTTTTGGGTGCTGATTTGTGTTTGTATCATACTGTATTTGTGTATATGTGCTGATTTCTGTTTGTGTGTATGTGTGCGTGTGTATATGTGTGCATGCACACCGACAAGCATGTGTGTGCTTTCCTGTATAGATCTGTGCTTATTTGTATGTGTGTTTGTGTGAAGAAAGTTAGCAGGTTTCACAGAGAGGATTCTACGACGCACCGGCTAGTGGGAGGACTTCAAAGAGGGTGTGGCTCTGCAGCCCCACCCCTCTCCACCGGGACGAATCAAAGGACCAGGAAATGCCACATGCGCGAGAGGAGGAAGGTGCTGTCTGTCTGTCCGTCTGTCTGTCTGTAATAGCCACATGTGGACTGTAAATGCTAGACGCTGCTCAGGGGGACTGCTGGGAGCCCTCACAGAGGAGTTCAGGGGTATGAGTGGGACTGACGGATGCATGGGAGGTTTGGTATCACTGTATTGCTCTCAGAGAGATTAGACAGTATAGGAACCAAAGTATTATGATGAGGGAGAACGGGGTTGTCTGTGCTGTGGCAGAAATAGACATACTGAAAAGACTAAATGTTTTAATGCCCCCAAAGTTTATGGCATATGAGTGTGTGAACTTCTTTAGAGATAAAGGTTAGGGGTTTGTAAATGTTACACTGACATAGGTCTGTAGTATAAGGTGCTTTGTTGTCATTTTTTAAAATACTTTCATCAACCCGAACTGAAAGAGGCTGCAGCGCTGAAATGTCCACAGTAGTTTGTGGACTTGTGCTAAGACCATGTGACCAGGAATGATGTAAATCAAAGAGTTATACTGGTATACCCTGATGTCTGAACAAATGTTTAACATATTGTGTTACCTGTCCTGACCTGTCAAACCAGAAAGTGGCACAAAAAAAATTCCTCCTCCTGAAATATCTGGTTCTAGAGGCTTGGAGGTGTAGAGCCTAATCACAGGGCTAGTTGGTAAACGACTGTACTGCCGGCCAGTAACCAGTTACAGCCTAGCAAGCAGAGAGCATGCTAGTGCCAGTCACTCACAACAGCCGTCTGAGCTTTCTTTTATCTTGTCTGAACTGTGCTGTTTACACCTCCCTGGCATTTTGTGTCAAGACTGTGCATCACTTCATTCAATAAAAAGTGATTGAAGAGGAAAAAAAAGCTCTACGAGCTAACAAGCTTGCTAACAGATAGCAAGCTTGTTAGCACATTTGCTAACTGGACAAAAGTCTAGACAAAAGTATGAGTGCTATCGACTCCGCTGTCGTAAGTATCTGCAGACCATACCTCTTCTGTAGAGCAGCTTATACTCTGAGAGGAGGGGTTTAAATAAAAATGGATTTAAAAAAATTGCTTTTGCCATTTTGGACTCCTCTGCTTTCTGATCCCTCAAATGTCAGCACTGTTTAGAGGCTTTCTACTGGCCAGTGGTGCAAATTTGAGGCTTCACCAAAGTTTCACTGAAGGTGAAAAATCTGCACCATTTCACTTCACCCCCGTGAGAGAAACCACTAATTGTGGTGATTCCATTGAAATTAAGTGATTTTTGCCATTAGATTTCACCATTTTTAAGTGGTGTTGAGCTCTGGCCTTTAAACAGCAGCTTGTGACATGATGGTTAACACTGTCTGCAAGAAGAAAAGTGCTACATACGATATTATATATTTTATATATTGCATTAATGCTTTCACATTACTTGACTAAAAGGTGCAGCAGCTCCGCAGTTTAACTGCAAGATTTAACACTCATCATACAGTGTTAAATACTCCTGTTCAGAATCACTCCCTCAGCCTGAATTTGTGTTCACTCCTCCAAGGTCAAACACTGTCATCTTAACTTTAAAAAATCTCAACTTCAATATCAAATACCTGTGATCAGCGCCAAATCCTTATAAGGCTACTTAGAGAAGCAAAAGAGATCCCCAATCACTCTACGCCTTCCTTGATGATTATCATGCACTAATCACAAACACATCTGCTTTATTATAGCCTTTAAAGTCACTGTCAATGAATGCATCTTTTTTTGAAACATACCATAGGAATTATCTGACGTCCCATCACTTTCTGCACTGACTTTGAAATCCGCCTTTAGATCTAGATCCAAATGTCTTCAGCTGTATCTACTCTACTCTGCATAAGCATTATTATAATAAATGTGAAGGAGACAAACTGGTGAAATGATACGATAAGAGAAGTAATAGGCGATAATATTTGAATGATCTATAGTGACACACTGTGCAGTGCTGGGGATACTGTAGATTTGGACATGATTGCTGGTTGGCTGGGAGGCTGGAATGTGTTGATCTAAAGCAGACTTGACAGTCTTTGCCCCGCTGCTGGCTGCCAAGCCCTCAGCTGGTTAGTGTGGTCTAGGGCTAAATGGGCACGGGCCGGGAATGGAGGTGGGGCAAAAAGTAGCATTAGCATAGGTTGAGGTTGAAAGATGTAAGTGGTTTTGAACTGTGAAAGCTGGACCAGAGTAAAGTTGTGAGTTGTGAGGGTGTTTGGGCCACAAGTACATGTGTTTAAACAGTGATTATTCTATGAAAAACCTGGCTATGCTCAATATAGTCAATACAGCATGGACTATGAGAGTGGGTTTATTGCGTTGGGGTTGTTAGATTTGGGGATGGTGTCCTCTAAATCAGTGCTTACAAGGGAATTTTATCAGCCATGAAGCTGGTGGAACCCCACACAGAGAAACACAGACAAACAGCAAGTGCTCTTCTCTGTTATAGGCAAGGCCAAAGGTCAACCCGAGGATGTCGAGAGGTCAAAGGTCAGGGTTGGTAGCAGGAAGCCGGCAAGCAGACCCGAGAGAAACACTGAGAGGCGATCGTTCAGTTTGGTGCAGCGGTGGGCGAGATGAAGGGCCGGAGGGAAGTGACTGCGCTGTGGTAGGTTGGTTGGTCTGTTGATTGGCAGGTCGGCGAGCGCCATGCATGTCCCACCAAAATCTACAGGTCACTGGGACTCAATCTGTGGATGGGGAAAAAACTGGATTAAGAAAAGAGAGGTGAAAAGAAAGACAGAAAGAAGGCGAGAAAAAGGAGAGAAAGAAAGACAGTTGGAAATTTCCAGACGGTTTCTAATGGCCTGTTACTCTCTGGCACAGGTTCATGTGAATTGAGACAAACTATACAACATTCCTGTTTTTTTTTTTTTTTTTAAATTGTATTAGCACTTCAGCGCATCCATCAATTAGGTCGAATCTGGCGACCGCATCAGGTGGCAGGAGTCTGTTGCCTCTCTGAACTCTGAGTCTGGAGGCCAGCTGCAGAGACAGAGATGGATCTATCCCATAAGACCGGCTAATCTTTACTCTCTAGGTCTCTTCATAATTTAATTTCGTGGCAAAGCGTCTGCTATTTTTACCACCGCACCCCCTCAGACATGTAGCAGAAATCAGGTGTACACATGCATGCATGCACGATATCTACTTATTTGTGTCAATTGTCCACTCACAGCTTAGCAACCGTAACTAACAACGACAGGCCTGTCCGGTGTTGCCAACTTAGCAAGTTAGCAAGTTATTTTGCTGGAATTGGTGATTTTTGAAGTGAGAGTTTGGGTTATTTGACGTGGGGCTGAGTGCACAGTATATTTTGAATATGTTCACCGCTTCATCTTACTGTCAAACAGCCCTTTGCTTTGGCACTTCATTTTCTCAACCTTTGAACTCCAGTATTCCTACGCACTGCGCACGCACTGTATTATGCCAAAGATTGCCAATTTGAATCTACTGCAGATAATACACTGACCAGAACTATCCCTTTAAGACCCCTTTAAAACAGTGCCTAGCAACAGATCTGGCGACTGTTGTGGGCAGACTTTAACGTCTCTTGAGAGAGAGCTGCTAATGTTTCTCTCATAGAGTTGTGGTTCTCTTTTTCAATGAGTGGTGGAGAGCAGCAGCACGTTCAGTCGACCAATCAGCAGCCAAACGGAAATCTAACTAGGTAAAGGGGGCGGGGCTTAGCAAATGTTCAGCTGGCTACAATAACAGTGTGTGTGTGTATGTGTGTGTGTGTATGTATTAACACCCACTTGTCTCAGTGATGCGCTTGTCTATGCTAAGGGGCTCCCTCAGTCCATCTCCCCCAAAGGGAGTGGGTGTGGACTCCTTCACCCCATTCTCCTTAGCAACAGCTCCTGGTGCTGTTGCCTTAGCAACACCTGCTGGTCCTGTTGGAGCGCCACTTGGGGGTGAAGATGTCTTCTCCTCTGCTTTCTCATCCTGTTGCCAAATATAGACACACGCACGCACACACATACACACACACGCACGCACGCACGCACGCACACACGCGCGCACACGCGCACACACACACACACACACACACACACACACACACACACACACACACACACACAAAGGACACCATGTTTTCTAAAGTGTACTACTCTCATGCCACCACACCATCTAGTGGTGTTGGTGGGTAACAGCACAATGAGTCAGCAGGACCAGAGACGTTAACTGTCTATGAGCTGCTGATATTAATGACTGTGTTTAAGTTCGACCTTGTGTCCGTTGGTCTGTGTGCTGCCCGGCCCCACATTGTCCATGGATCCAATCTTAGACTTCGCCTTGATATTAAGCTTATGGGACTCGATCTTCACATCACCACCACCTGGGGTAAAAAAAAAAAAGAGAGAATAGAAAAGAATAGAATAGAGTTTGAAGGGAGGGAAATAGAGGGGAAAAGAGGAGTTCTTGAAGTCCAACCTGGCTTGTGTTTGATGTTGTCCTTGGAGCCGCACTTGGAGGTCACCTTGCTCACATCCACCTTCTTGCTCAGGATCTGCACCTGTGGAAAAGGAGAGATCAAAATGTAGCCTCTTTATTTTTTAACTCATATCGACGTCACATTCAGTACAATGAAACTACTGTTCTCCTTCAATGTCCACGTAATCCACCTGAGAAAATCACAGTCATCCATCATTATGCACCTGGTGCACTTACAGAGAGGACGACATTCTGTACAGTAAAATGTGGGAGAATGACATACAACAAACAAACCTACCATACCTACCATGCTTGATTCCCTACTTTGACCTGTTCTGTTCTCAGTGAAGGTGACTTTTTTTTTTTGTTTTGTTAGGCCTGTAAATGATGCAGCATTTATGCAGATACATCGGGACGGGCTGTAAGTGGAGGATGGGAGCGGGGCAGCTGTTAGACCGTTGTCATGAGAGCGTGTGCTCAGGATCACAGGGAGTAATCCTGAGTAGTCTGACAGCTGCTGGCACTAATGGATTTTAAAACCTTCCTTCCTGACCGTCCTCACAGTGCGTGATAAGGTCAACCTGATTTATATATTTGACAACAGACAGGAGAACTAACGGGAGGACCTCAAAGACCCTCAGTGCTATTAAAATGTTATTCACAAACAAACCATCATTAAGTCTGATTGCATGACTGATATTAGACACACTGATATTAGAGGTTAAAATATTAATGACCCGCTTTTATTACATAAACATAAATATTTGATGATGATGTTTCAGACTGAAGTAACACCAAAAACAACTTAAAGAAACAAAGAAATTTTGAATATTGGTTCAATTTTATAATGTGTTCATCTGATTACATTCTGTAACTGTACTATAGAAATACCTTGTATTTGCATTGTATTTTTATGTGGAATATGCCGTACAAAATATGGATGCTCCACATACAGTATGGAGCAAATATATGAAGTTATTTGTGTGCATGTTAATCCACTTCCAATCTTTCACATTCTTTGGGACCAATAATAGGAAATGTGAAGTTTGGTATTGCAGCATGATCAAACATAATCGCATGATCATTTTCCATTTATTTACACATAGACACCGTCAATTTTTCGCTCCTCGGAGGAAAAACCTTTTGCATTTTGTTTAATTAACAACAGACAGCAAAGTGGTTATTGTGAGAGCAGCCCAGAGATGGAGCATGATAGTGCAGCAAGTGTTCAGAGCAGATGGGAACAACATCTGGAAGGGTAGGTAGAAGAAAGACCTGTGGTAAGTTCACTTAAAGTAAAATAAATCCATAATGCAAACAGTGGGAGCCATTCATGTGCTTGTTACTGAAAACAATATGTGATGAAAAGCCTTTCTAAATTGTTATAGTTGAACTCCAGTCGGCCTCTTGCTCTGACAGATAACACTCAAATTAGATTTCCTTGTGTGCAGGCGTCCAGGTAAGTATAGCACCAGATTTATGGATGCAGTACTCTGACTTTAAATCAGACTGATTTGATTTCTTATCAATAAATATCAGATCTTTTCATGATTGTTTGAAGAATGCCTTTTACAACAGTCAAATAAAAGTCACATCCATGTGACGAAGGCATCAGATCTTTGTTTCTGCGTAAATCCAGCCAAATGTGGTGTCAGTGATAACATTTGCATCCAGTCATGGTGAATCAAATTTACACATCAAGGAGGCAAATTCCTCTTTTATCCATTTGTGACCAGTCTGATTTCTCTGTGGTTACGTACATGGGGTTAAAAAAAAGGAAGAGATTTATTTCACAGGTTTGAGCAAGACGGTCCAAATGAGGCTACATTTGCATAAACTGTGATAAGCATCCGCCCTAACCAGAGTCTGCTTCCAGCTCCAGCAGTACTTACATTGCCACCTCCAGGGACATGTTTGATATTGTCCTTGGAGCCACAGCGAGACGTGACATGGCTGAAGTCCAACTTTTTGTGCACTATCTGAACCTAAAGACAGGCAGGCAGACACACAGATGAGCGAGAAAGAAAGAAAGAAAGAAAACGAAAGAAAGAAAGAAAGAAAGGTGTGACAGACACGAGCAGCAGAAAAGAGCAGATCAGCTGGCAGCTCAAGTTAACAGGAAACAGTAGCTTTGTGCTGTCAGTATGGAAGGAATTCTGTCATTCAAATCAAATGATTCTTCCTACACATGAGTTCAGTGATTGGATTATGTCATAATTTAATCAGTGCATGAATAATAACAAAATAAATAAATAAAAGTGGTTCCAAAATGAGGGTGCAGCTAGTGGGACAGATTCTTAAAGGAAACGTTTGTGAATTGTTACAGAAATCAATGTTGATTTACCAAAAGAAGAGGAAGGATACTGACTAAATAACAACAGAGCGCTTCCATAAACGGAATTAACTGAAACTAAACAAGCGCAGGACAAACACTAAAAGATGAGACAGAGAACATGCAACAGAATTTAACGCCGGACAGTCTGATTTTGTCTTAACACATGCTGCTGTAAGCACAGAAGCTGCTGCAAGCAACTAATACAGACCAACTTTAAAGGTCTCATATTTCACTCTTCTTTTAATTTAGTTTGTGGTTTTAAGAACCAAAAACAATCTAAATGTAGTTTTACATCTCCTCTCTCAGGCTTCTCTCTGGAGCTCTAGTAACAACAGGTTGGTGAGCCAATCAGAAGAGAGGAAGCTCTGAGCCTCTCTTCTGATTGGCTGACTGTTTTCTGAGTGACTTAATAAAAATATAGCAGATTTCAGGTAAAACACTCAGAGAAACCAAATCCTGCAAAGTTGGATGGTGGGTCCAGGTGGGCGGGGCTTGGGGCGTGGCTGAGGGCAGTGACTACTTTGTTGTGACATCACAAAGTTACAAAAGCCAGCTACAGCTGGTTTTAAGGCTCAGTTTCTGAATACAGGCTGTGTGCATTTCTCTGTGGACTGAGTGCTTTGATACTTTCACAGTATTAATATAGAACCTAGACCTGCTTTATAATCAAACAACACACAGACATCTAGCTTTATATGATATGGGACCTTTAAGGTAGTTCAGGTTCACTTTCAACAGCCTGCAGCCACTCCCACAGTTGTAAGAACAATGACTAAAACACAAAAGCACAGTAGCTGTTGCATGATTGAGTTGGCCAGGATGTCTGTATCTCATTAAAGCAAAACTGTCTGCTTCAGTTTTGGAGAGATATTGGTCAAAGAAATAATCTGTGAATTGAAAACCATTCTTTTGTTATCTTTGGTATAGATAATCAGGGGAGTAAACCCCCAACCTTCACCCAGCCCGCCGATTCGACTGCCTCTGTGGTTGTTTGTGTAAAAAGCTCTGCAGCAGACGACACCTTCCTGCATTATCTCTGTTTCTGTCTTAGTCTCCTTCTCCAGGATGAAAACGGCATGATGACGCAGGTAGCACCAGCAAAGGATGACTCACTAAACAGTTAGCGCTAATACGCTTAATGCGTGAGCACATGCACACGCACGCACACACGCACACACACACACGCGCACACGCGCACACACACACACACACACACACACACACACACACACACACACACACACACACAAACATACACACAAACACTCAGCAGTAGCCTGTAAACAGGCTCCTCTCTCTGTTTTCTCTTTCTAACAGCCCATTGTAAACATCCTAATTAATTTCAATAGTCCTAAAGTAGCTGCAAGGCTGCGGTTTATCAGGCCACTTCAGGTTCCATAAAGACTAGTTTGAATCCTGGCAACTAAAGGGGACACTGCACATGTTTCCTCATGTTACAACAAGAAAAGGAAAATAACTCAGTGAAACCTGCAGACGGTGAAACTGAAGGACAGAAATAAACGACTGCATTTCATGTAGTCTGAAAGTTTTCAACTACAAATTCACACACACATTTTCACTGGTAAGTTCCTTCTATGTGCTTGTCCATGCAACCACTGATGTGTATCTACTACAGTAATGTCATCAGGCGCAGGGGATACATCTACAACTAGCACACAGGAAGTAAACAAATCCAGGAACAGCTACTTGGTTACGTGTAGCATGTATTATTTGTTTCTATCATGTACTTGCTAGTTCTTCTTGTGTTTGCCATGTGGCAGCTTCATTTGTTATCGGTGTAGTGAATAATTGTAAAGGTTTGCAGTGGAGCACATAGACAGGTATGATTTGTCTGTTACAGAGTGACATCACTGGAAATATTCTTTAGTTGCACTAAAATCAATGTTCAGTGATAGAACATAGGAACACATGGCTGCCACATCAATTAATTTAATTTTGTTCAATGATTAAATCTAAGAAAACAGGGTCATCAGTCCCCACTGCGGTGTCCTTTGGAGAGTTTGGATGGATATAGAAGTGTAGTCGACGACGATGGCGAGATTTGGTTGAATGTGTTGAACAGTGTATGAAGCTCAGTGCATGTAAATGTTGAGGTGTTATGGAAATGAAAATATAAATTAGAAGAAACCGTGGAGTTCAGATGGACTATTATGATATGAGACCTATGAATCTGTCACACAACATACAAAAGGCATTTTGCAAGTATAGAAGCAGAGGTCGAGCTAAGCTGTAAAAACACATCAGAGGAGATTTAGTTTTTTACTTCTATGAACAATATTTCTGTATTTATCTGTATTTTTCCCCCTTTTTATCCCAGGCTGAGAGAACGTCTTTGCGACCGCATGACGCTGCTGCTATAGTGTTTTCTGTTGGGTTGTTTTAACATTCATCTTTGTACTGACTGGAGCAGCTTGTACAGCAGCTTTAAATGGACACGTTAAATTTAAATTCATTTAAAAAGATGATCAAGACTTTGTGCCTGATCTCTTCCTTCATTAAATGAATGAAAGGAGCTAACCAATAGCTAATGGTAGCTAATGGTAGCCAACGTTTTCTAGACGTTGCTGTTTAACTGACATTACTAGTTTAGCTCAGCTATTTTAATTTTTTGAAATACAAAGAGTTCAAGATATTAATGTCGACAGTTTCACAGACATCTGTTTTATAAAGTCTGTCAACAGGGAAATACTCGGACACACCATATCTGACTGTCGTATCCATGAGTACGGCCCCTTATGGCTAGCTCTCAGTTAGGTCAACGAGCGATGATTAATTAAAACAACTAACTCTGGCTAATGTTCACCAACGGTTAAATTCAATTATACCCACAAGAAGGTTATTTATTTATTTATTTCATTTAAAATATTAGGTCATCATAAAAAAAATCTCCCTTTCATTCTGCTTTGAAGAAAACAGTTTGATAATAATATTCATGATGAAAAGTAGTCAGCTGTATATATTTTCAGGTAGTGTTAACAGGGCACAGCAGAGGGTGTGGTGTGTCCTGGGTGGATGTAGAATGGGCTGTGTGGGTGGTTACTGCAGAGAGAAGGTGGGAGTGTGTGAGGTGTGAGGGTGTAGATGGTAGGGGGACTCACTCTGGCCTTGGCCGCAGGGGCACAGGGGTCTGATGTCTTGGTCGGGGTGGAGGAGACCTGGGGAGACAACCACCCCCTGGTCAATAGAACCTCCAACAAACCACATGCCACAACACAGCGGGGTGGAAGAGCAGGTGGAGCGGTGGGAATGAGGTGCCGACCAGGTGGAGCGAGGGCGGGGGGAAGGGCTGGACCGATCAGACGGGTCTATGGGCTACTACAGCTAATCATAAGGGAAGCATAGTATATGACTGCATGGAAAATAACTGCGTGGATCAAAAAGAAGCAAAGTGAACCAAGCTTTAGCCCAATGTGTGGGTGTATGAATAATTTTAAATAATCGACAGCAGTCGCACTAATTACATTTAATAGTTAACAATGTGTCAGTCAAATGGGGGAGGGGGAAGTGGATTAAACATACGTGTACACATGTCAGATACACTGCATGAGATGGATAATAACAGCCATTTAATTGGCAGTAAAATGGAGCAGATGTGAGACAATTTCGTCCTGTGTTCGTGACAAGAACCAAACAAATGTCAGCACAAAAAGAGTGTCAGCATAAATACACAACCAGGAAAAAACACATCAAATGTCACATTACTGTTGTTCAGACACACAACCACCAGTCCAATCCCTAAAACACTGAGGATGGAAAGGTTGTTAGATCAATAAGCTGCTGTTGAATGGAAAATATTAAAATACATAACAGACAAGTCAATATTAGTATCACTGGCGTCTGAATGAGTCAGTGCCTCTTGCGATGATGCACGGTGGCGATGTGTTTGTGTGCGTTTAGTGGCTTCACTCTGATAGACTGCTGGAAAGAGGACAAGCACGTCTCTGAAACGCGAAGTGAGGCGGCGCAGCAGGACCAGACCTGCAGCACATGAACCTGAGAGGCTGAATAGTGACCAAACATTTTGTTTTTGTCAGTGTGACGCCGACAACCAGACACTCTGCAACACTTCCCCCCGGTGACTGTTCTTTTGGAGAGAAAGCAGCAGCTCCTTCTCCACACTGATCTAACTTTAATTGGCCATGTAATCATGTCTAAGTGACACAGGTTGAGGAAGCGAGGAGTCGCTGTGAATATGAAAAAGAGTATTGGAAAAAAGGAGCGAGCATGCCGTTTCATTGGATAAATAAGGGGGAGATGATGTCTCCCAGCCAGTGACTGCGGTATGTTAGCCTGTGCTACCAGTGTGACCAGGTAGAAGGGCTTTAAGGGAAAGTAAAGGAGATGAAAGCGCACTTATTTTAGATCTGCACCTCCAACGAACCTTTACATCAACACAGAAAAGCAGAGATTGAAATGAAGCAGTTCCAGACTAACAGACAGAAATATGTAATGCTAAAGAAAACAAATTAAATTTGAAGATCTGAAGAGGCAACCGTGAAAACATGCAAACACATGGAAAGATAAAGGAAGGAATTAATTAAAAGGAATTAAAGAAAAAGATGAAAATAGTGGCTGAAAGAACAAATTAAGTGCCAGTTTCATGTCTGACTGCTATGTAGAAAATACAAGCCAAATATTAAGCTGCTTCTTCAAATGACCTCAACCTTGATCTGCTATGAAGTTACACATTTATGCATTGGTAATGATAATGCAGTAAACTCAGAGAGGACGACAGACAACACAGCAGAGATGGAAAGAGGATGAACCGGACAGACACATTAAATCACACGGCACAGCTGCAGGAGAAGAGGCGACGTTTGTGATTCAAAGCGTCAGCGCAAAAGACAGATGGCCACAAACACTGACGGCACAACTAGGCGTCTGAGCGATGAACACACTTTCATCACAACGGAAAAGGATAGCTGACATGCACAGAAACTGTTTTTCAATGCGGCTGCACCTTTTAGGATGGTGGGGGGGGGTACAGGGAAACAAATGGCAGCATTAGGCGTGGTCAACAATGATAATGCTGGATGTTGAACCGAATCAACAGACAAATGACAGAGTAAAAAGTGGACGGAATAAGGAAACCTAATGCATAAATAGAGACACGTATAGCTGCCCTCTCTTCAGTTAGGTGAGGTTATATAAGAAATCACTGTCCGCGGTGCTGAGCTCAGTCATATATGAGTTTTTATGGTGTCGGCATTTCATTTGTCAAATAAAGAGCAGAGGATGTGTGTTAACCGCTTGAATGTTGGCATGCTGGTATTATATTCCCTCTCCTACTCATCACTCATTACAAATGCTAATTTGAGCATTGTTGTTTACAGAGTATTAATCAAACAATCAATCAATCAGATCTAATTTGTATGGCACTTTTCATACAAATAATCTAACACAAAGTGCTTTACAGAAAATAAAAATAAAAATCCCACCCACCATCATCCCCCTCCACGCACAGAGCAATAAATGACTATGTTATAAATAAAAAAACAATAAAAGTAAAACAATAATGACAGGAACTGAGGAAATGCTATTGTGAATCTAATAAATCTGCAATGAGGAAACACCAAAGACGGGAAAACAAAGATGAAGAACAATGATGTATTGAAGTGGGTAAAACCGGAAATGAAAGGTGGGGAATTTAAAAGGAAAACAATCCACAAATTGGGAATAAAATAAAAGGACACATCAGGAAAACAGCCTAAAATGTGTGAATAAATGAATAAAATTAGAAGACTTCAGTCTTCTGTTCTTCTTCTTCTGTTACTATCAGTTAAGAACCATTTCCAAACTCAAGCCAATTCTGCATTTCCATTATATGGAAAAAAGCCATTCAACTAAGGACGTCCCCCAGCTCGTCCACAGGCGATCCAAGATGCAGCTTCACAGATGTTGACTGGTCCGAAAAAGTGAGAGCACCCCCCCCCCCAGTCCAAGCCTCCCTTCATTGGCTTCCTGTCCATTGTAGAATTCAATTTAAGACCTTGCTGATTGCTTTCAAGGCTCTAAATGGTCAGGCCCCATTTTATATCACAGACCTTATTCCCTGCAGTCAGCTCCCTCCATCGCTGCTTTTAAATCTAAGCTAAAGACACATTTTTATACGCTGGCCTGTTTGGCCCTTTAATCTTTTAATCTGTTGTCATGTCTATAATTCATTGGTATTTGTCCCTTGTTGTCATTGGTATGTTTCTGCCTGTGTTCTCTTTGTGTCCTGTTGTACAGCACTTTAGTCAGCTTGAGATGTGCTGCAGAAATGAGCAAAGTGCCTGTTTGTCATTAAATGTACATTTAAGTCAAGTCAAGTCAGAGATTGTGACGTTAACTCTGGCCCACGGTTCCACTTCTAAGCTGTGATTGGACCGTTAATTGTTTTTCATATTGGAATCAACAGTGCTTTGCGTTCAGTGTTGGTAGGCCTACGCTGCTCTCTGCTGGACATCACTGAAATACAATACACCTCTTCACTTAGATTTTTTCTTTATTATTATTTTTTTGGCCATTTATGCTTTTATTATATAGAACCAGTAGAGAGAGACAGGAAATACAAACGGTCCGTGCAGCCACGACTCAAACAGGGGACTCCATGTGGTACGGGACCTAACCATTCGGCTGTCAGGTCGCCTCCCACGTTGAGATTTGAATGTGATGTCGGAAATTTAAGTCAAAGTAAAAAACAATTTGTTAAGTTATTGAAGACAAGAAACTAAACTGTAGTTTTAACATGTGTTTTTTCATGCAACTGTGACACAGTAATTGCATTCATAAAATAGAAATACATACAACTATTTGTGCTCTTCACTTTTTTTCTTTGCTTTGTTTTAATGGAGGGATTTGAAACCTTCCACAGTGAGCCCACTCAGATGTGGTCGTCAGTTCAGGACCTCTTTCTGTCGCCCTTACCGCTCTCTGTCATCACTCATTTATATGTTATTATGCAGCAGCTGTTGTCATTAACCTGTGGTTGATTATTATGGTGATTATTTTGTCAGATGTCATTATCGTGAAGTAGATGATTGATGAACTTCTCAGTGCAGAAGAACAAGAATCAAAAACTGCCTGTAATCCCTTTTTTCTTAGCAAACTAAAGAGCCGATAGTCCTTAAAGAAATTGTTATTTCTGTTAAACAGTGTTAACGTTTTAACATTTATTCTGACAGTCTGGTCCAAGTGTAGAGGAAGTACACCGAGTAACACATGTAATGATGACGTACAGCACATAGCAAGTATTTGAATTGCAAACTAACTGGTGCCAAATCATTGCTGATACAATGCTGCAACAATTGAGGAATATTAGCAGGTACGTGGCCGTTCTGCACGAATCACAGAGCTCCCTTGTATTGTCTGGTTTGTCCTACCTTTCCTCCGCCAGGCTGGTACTTGATGTTGTCGATGGATCCGATCTTGGAGCGGACGTTCTTCAGGTCCGGTGTTGGGGCGTTGATAGGCCGGGGGGTTCGATGAGCACGGGGCACTGCCGGCTTCTTCTCCATCGGGGTCTGCTTGGGCACGGGGGGTTTGGTGATGACCCGGCGGCGGTGGCTGGTGCTGGTGTCACCGTTAGTGGAGGCAGCCGGAGTGCCAGGAGTGGTGGTGGAGGCCGGGCGAGGACGAGCTGCAGAGAAAGGAAGCCGAACTTGTCACAATAACTTCTAATTCTCTTGGAAAGTGATTATTAGCAAAGATGAGATGTCTCGGTTCAAAGGGGTAAAAAGTGACCGTACAATTGCATCATCAACAAGCCACATATTATATCTAGTAAAGAGGAAAGAAGGGGACTGTGTGATCTTCGTACTCATCACTGAGGTAAACTTATTGCTCAGTACATCATGTCTAAATATAATGTGCTTCTACTGTGTAATGGGGCAGTAAAAAATTACAGCATATTTATTGTCCCCTTGGAGGTGCCTTAAGCAGCTTTTACAACCTTGTCCATAACTTTTATTTCATTTTGGTGACATTTGTAGGATCCCATGAGAACAATCCTGAGATAATGATAATACTTCTCTTAAATGTCAGCACAAATGTGTCTTTGTTTGTTACCTGCAGTCTTGGGTTTCTTGGCCTCTCCCGTCTTGCTCTCAGCCTTGTCGTTCTTGATAGCTGTGTGGTACAGACAGCACACAAGCTCAACAACGCTAATATGAAACACCGGTAGCCTTTACCAAATACTTTATCACTTCTGTTGTTTAACTAAGAATCAGCACGCAGGTAGTTCTGGACAAATACCGGCTGTAGAATCTGTGTTGCAGACTGAGAAACAGTGCTAGCATGCTTTGTTGCCATATGTTCAGATTATAAACAAAGCGGTTGATGAGTTGTATTCTATTTAAAATAAAACTGTGTAAAGCCAGATTTTCTTTTTTTAGATCAAATTTACAGTGTGCAGCATCTGTTTCACTGCTCTGGCTTTGCTTTTGTAAACGTTGCTCATAATTTGACAGAGCATGTTAAAATCAACGAATTTAAAAACAATGTATACGTGTTTTTTAAAAATCACAATGCTCCTTGTCCTCTCACCTGGGAACAGACAGACAAAGCAATAACTGTAGTTACATTTCATGGGCAAACAGTGTTGTTAGCATATAGGCTACGGGTATGTTTACTTGCTGTTTGATGCATGTAATTAGCTCTCTCTCTCTCTCTCTCTCTCTGCAAACTGACACTAGCATTGCACTTTTCCCCCAGTCAATCTTTATTTGCTCACTTGCAAACTAAGCTTCTAAAGTAGATTTTAGCATGAAAGCTAATGGTTGCTGTTCAGTCTGTGGCTCTTGTGTAACATAATGCTGCCTGACCCTGTGTGACTGTCTGCTCTGCCTGTGACAGAACGCTGACATTACTGCTTAATAAAATATAGACGGGCACAGAACAGTATTTTGGTAAATGCATGCAAAACTAAAGGGGCACAATTATGAAAAGAAAAACAGAAAACACAAATACTTCCCTTTCGATTTCACAGGACAAGTGATTTAAAAAAGCATGTATGTATGTATGTATACTGCAGCAGACAAAAAAAAAATCTAATTTATTTTCAGATGGACTTTAAAGCTCCACTGATCAGTAATTTTTATATGAACAATAAGTCAAGTTTTTGTGGCTTTTTAGCCTCTTTTATTTCCTGGTTTTGGTTTTACAGCACATTAACTGTTTCTGACTGATCTCATCGACCCTGTTCCCAGCAGCTGTAGTTAGCTGTTTGTAGCAAAAAGCTAAGGACAAGGCTCCAGATGAATGCTATCATCTGTGTCTGCTGGATGTGATAATATAATTGTTTGCTAATAACTTGTTAGTTATGGCAACTTTATAATAACACAATAATAATATTATAGATTTATACTTTTCTAAACCCACTTTACACAGTGCGTTACACAAAGCAGCAGAGTAAAACATGCAGGTCATATAAGGCAACAGAGTCAAAACAAGCAAATCACAAATACAATTAAAGTGTCTTAGTATTATGGTGCAAATAAACCAAAGGCAGCATCACCAGCATGATCAATAAAACCATAAAAACAAAGAAGTGAGTCATCTGGAAAATAAAATACAAGACCAAGTCTAAGCCTAGTATATGTCTGGACCGCCTCTGGTCAAATCCTGATTTTATAACTGTGACGTCGTTTTGACAAAATCACCAAACACATAATTAAAGTCAGAGACTGAGCTGTGATTTCAGCTGTTTTTTTACTGTAACATGATCACGCAGCGAGAGAGTTAGAAGAGATAGACTGGCTTTATTTTTCACAGCCTCCGTCTGGGATCCACAATACTATAGTCTTTATTTACTTCAACTCCAGAAAGTCACAGACTTTTATTAGAGGCAGGTCTTTATGTCTGACTCTCTCTGTTTGATATGTAGAGTCGGTCATAGTCGTTAGTACGAAGCCCCGTTACTGAAGACTTCTCTCTCTCCTGCTCCCTCTGCTCTGTGTGTCTTATGTTTAGTCATTCCTCTTCCTCCTTTAGTAATAATGATACATGGAATGAAAGTAGTTTATTTGCTGTAATGGAGGCGAGGCTCAGTGTATTGGAAGTGCTCCTCCTCCTCCTCCCTGCTGTTCCCGAGCAGCTGGGAAACCAGAGCAGTCCAGCCAAAAAAATCATAAAATAATGTGATTATATGTTATGGCTGTGGGATTATCAGCTTGTTATTGTCCAGTTATTGTGCCCACATGTGCCTCAGCTGTGAATCAGCGTTTCATCATATAATTTTTCAAATAAAAGTTGTAGAAAGGATTTGCTACGTGTTCCCGATCGCTCGGCTATATTCTTGATTCTTGGGCTTCCGGTGAGGTGAAGAATGTGTCACTTGCCGTCTGAGCAACATTGAGTCACTTCACTGTTTACGGAGGTGTGACAGGATGTCCATCATGTTGATGAAGTGGTGTTCGTAATGCTGCCATCATGTGGCGAGTTCATCATGAAATCGGACTGAACAGCCGTCGGGGCAACAGTCGCAAAAATAACAGAGTTCACTCGTGCTAAACTAAAATGAAATATGCACCTTGCGGTAGATAAAACGCTTCACTGTGAACTGGGTGAATGAATCATATTCTCTGAGGGTGCTGAGCTGAATGTACAAAAAGCAGAATATCTGTTTGACTGTTTGAACAGGGCTCAGACTGAGTCACAGCTCCGTCACTTAGAGAGGTGAGATCCTGTTGCTGATGTGATAAAAATACCAGTCTGGTGCCTTCGAAAGTCAGCACTCCAATCCAATAAAGTATAACATATGGCAGCGATTCAGTCAGTTAGCCTGTTGCCTGGAGCGGCGCCAGGCAACACTGTGACTCATTGTTCCAGCCGCTGTAGAGAGTTCAGGTCCTGTTGTTGATGTCACGGCGCACTGGCGGCAACTATGATCCAGCCAAAGCAGAGCGGAAATACCAGCTGTATCACTGTGTGTGTGTGTGTGTGTGTGTGTGTGTGTTGTGTATGTGAACACGTACCTGCAGTTTTGCTTGCAGCAGTTGCAGAGGAGCCGTTCTTACTGGCAGCTGGACGTGGTGTGGGCGTGGCCTTTGGAACCGATGGGCGTTTCTCACCATTTTCTGGAGTCTGGAAATCAGACGAGAGTAGAGATAAGCTGTGGGTGACAGTCTATAAGACTATTTATGTTAATGTCTGTATGTACTGTAGGTTTGTTACTGCTGTGCAAAGACTGCGTTATCAAACACCGTTCATGCGACCATGATATAAACAGAGACTGGAAACAAAGACGGTGAAGACGGAGGTCTGAAGTGTCGCCTGATTTCATCCTGTTAGACCTTTGTGTTAAATTGTGTCATGATAAGTGTATTAACTCATGAGTTATGGCCAAAAATGTGTTTTGTGAGGTCACGGTGACCTTGACCTTTGACCTTCAACTACCAAAATCTAGTCGGCTCATCCTTGAGTCTAAGTGAGCGTGTGTGTCAGATTTGAAGAGGACAGAGAGAAGGGACAGAGACGGAAATGGGACAGACAGACAGATGTCTTCAAAAAAACAAGAGCGGGAGAAGGAATGATGATTTTGATGTTGTCAGACTGAAAAAACAAACAAACCGGACCATGAAGAGCTTTTAAAACCAAACAAGGCAAGTGCTTCATGTAAAAATACATTTATCTTAAGTGTTTCCTAATTAAAAGGTTTGTTTATCTGCAAATTTAATTATCATACACTACACTGCTACATTTATATATTAATGACATGTTTACATTTTTATATATTATTATAAGTGTGGTGTGATATGTTCATAGAGGCAAAACTATTGTTCAATAACAAAATAAACATTAAATTCAGCTTCAGACAAATTAACAAATATTAGATTCAGGTCAGTGATTATCTCAGCAGCAGACATGAACTTAATATACACACACATATATACACATATATACTGTATATATTATACTATACTATGTTATGTTATGGTATATTATATTTTATGGATTTTACTCACCTTGGTGGAGCCAGCAGGTGTTGGTGGTCGCTTGGCAGCGGTGGGTGTGGTCTCCTTCGGTATAGGGCTTTTTTTATTGGTCGAGGCTGTAGAGGGGGAGGGCTGTTTGGCCGAGGTGGCCTCACCATTGGTGGAGAGAGATGACGGGCGTGGTTTGGTGGAGGTTGGTTTGTCTGGACCAAGGTCAGCCTGGTGATTATGGCGTTAAAAGATAATAACAGTAAAAGAAAGTGAAGAGAAAGAAAAAGCAGAGACGAAATCATTGAATTGAATCAACAATCTAAAGATCTCATGAGCTGGTAATTATTAATTGATAAGCTTAAGATGTAATTAATATGAGCAGCAGTTTAAAAGTATAGGTGATGGGGAAATCTGGCCTCAGATATTGGGACGCATTCACACAGAAAACACACAACACAAATGGACAGAGACTCGGTGATGGACTTGTGAGACTGATGTCCTGCGACAGTTTTAAGGTGATTGGTGACTAGAAGCATTAATTCCAATCTACCGATCACGTATTTTTCATGGCTGATCAATCGGGGCATCCCTATCAGGAGTTAGTCCCCATGTATGGATGTAAAAACAAAACATACACATATTTATGGTGTTGAGATCTACGACTTTCTACAGTTTAGTGCAGATAATAACTGGATCTGACAGACGTGTAGGATTGCTTGGCCTCGGCTGAAGTGCGCACCGATGTATTTGTACCTTTGACCTCTGCCTCCTGACTGTCGTAGGCTCACGGCTCTCCTGTGAAGTGTTCACACTGCGACAGGAGGAGGTTGAATAAAAGTGGACGGTGCGACACAGCGTCTGAGTTACACACCGGCAGAGTTCAGCACTGTGACCTTTGGGTGACGGGACTGTTTCTGTAACCACCGGACACCCTGCCACCGCCAGAGTGTGTCCAGCGGTAATGCAGCAAATGTGTTTGGACAGCAGTGCGTTTGAGTATTCTGTGTGTGTGTGTGTGTGTGTGTGTGTGTGTGTGTGTGAGACCCACCTTGCTCTTGCTGTCAGGGCTTGGCAGGGTCTTGCTGCCGTTGCCGTTTCCATTGCCGTTGCCTTTCCCTCCCTTCTCCTCTTTCTTCTCAGCCAGTTTCTTCTCCTCCTCCTTCTTCTCGTCTTTGTCGGTCTTCTCCGGCTTGTCCACCTTCTCCGCCTTCTCGTTGGCCTTGTTGTTTTTCTCCGCGTTCATCTTCTCCATCTTGTCCTCGTCTTTGAGGATCTTCTCGGACTTCTGGTTCTTGTCCGACCCGTTGTCTTTCTTCTGCTGCTCCTCTTTCTCTTTCTTGTCAAAGGTGTCGATCTTCTCCGTCTTACCGGACAGGGTCTCTGTCTTCTCCTGCTTCTCCTTGTTGTCAGATTTCA